CTTACATTAAAATAAGTGGAAATAATTATTTCAAATTGAAGATAAACATGAAAGCATCAATTTTTCTTTCTTGACCCACAGCACAATGGAGAGCTAAAGAATGAATAATTATTACATAAATTAATGTGCATTTGTACACTTCTGCTGGCCAGCCAGAAGACTGCTCATAAAGGTGCCATACTGGAAGGTTTAGAAGAGAAGCTATATTTAAGAATTAGGAAAATTAAGACTATGACATTTGTGTTGGGTACTGTGAAAAATGCTACAATAAATTTAGAGGTGCATATATTTTTTACAAATAGATGTATTCAAATAAAGAGGGGTTGCTGGATCATATGTTAACTCTCTTCTTACTTTTAAGAGAAAACTCCAGACTGTTTTTCCATAGTGGCTTACCAGTTTACATTCCCAGGAGTGGTGAAAGAGGGTTCCTTTTTCTCCACAACCTCTCTAATACTTGCTATTACTTGTATTGTTGATGATAGCCATTCTAACAGATGTGAGGTGATATCTCACTGTACTTTTGATTTGAATTCACTCACAGCTAGGGAAGTTGAACATTTTTTTATATATTTGTTAGTTATTGGTATGTCTTCTAGGGAAAAGTACCTGTTCGGATCCTCTGCTCATTTGTTAATTGGACTCAGTTTCTTGGTGTTGAGTTATGAGTATTTATATATTTTGTGTATTAACCCCTTGTTGGAGGAGTTGTTTGTAAGTTTCTTCCATTCATTTGATTGCCATTTTGTTTTGCTCATAGTTTATTTTGCTGTGTAGGAGCTTTTTAGTTTGATATTGTCCCATTCATTTATTTTTTATTTTACTTCCCTTGCCTTTGAGGTCAAATTCATAAAATCCTTTCTAAAAAACAAAGTGTTCTTTGATAGATGATTGAATAAAGAAGGTGTGGTACATATATACAACGGAATACTACCATACAAAAAGATGAAATGCTGCCATTTGTGACAACACGAATGGATCTTGAGACTATCATGCTAAGTTAAGTGAATCAGATGGAAAAAGTCAAGAACCATGTTTCACTTATATGTGGGATATAAAAGTGAAAACAACAAATGAACAAATAAGACAAACAGAACTCATAGATGGAGATAACCGTGGTTATCAGAGGGAGAGCAGGGTGTGGAGGAGGTAGTAAAGAGTAAAGAGGGTCAAATATATCGTGATGAAAAGAGATCTGACTCGGGATGATAAACAAACAATGCAATATATAGATGATTTATTATAGAATTTTATACTTGAAGCCTACATAATTTTATTAACCAATGTTACCCCAATAAATGTAATAATTTTTTTTCAAAAGACTATGACATTTCTCGATTGAGAGGATTATATGTGACCTATCTAGAAATCTTAGTGTTATAATAAAAGCCTTTCGTCAATACATTTAAAGAGTATATCTACATGTATGAGGTTCTTTTCCTAAGTGGATTGATAATAAGTCTTTCCAACATGTATTGACTATGCTAAATTGTACCATAATGGACAACAGTATGTTGCCTCTGTAGTGAACTAAAATTGTGGTCATGTTACCAAACTTGAGATGCAGATTCTCCATCCTGCAAATTCCTCAGATCACCTGACTGCTTATTTGGTGAATGGATATGAATGAATGGATGATGAAATCACATTCTCCCCCCCCCCAAAAAAAAAAAAGTCTTAGATCCATTTCTTAAATTTGGGTGGAGGGCTCACGGCAAGAGTACAAATGGAGGCTCAGAAAGTAATGTGTTAATATTAAAAATTTTAAGTCAGTCAAACAGACTATTAAAGAAAATATGCTCTAGACACTTTTATTTTAACAAATATATTTTCTTAATGATCCAAGAGGGTGAAATTAAATTTAGAATTTAGAATGCTTAGATTTCTAAGAGTTCCATATTAGAAAATAATCATGAGCCTCATTCTACCCTCTTCTTCTTTTCACATATCTACTTTCATATTGTACAGGGAAGGCCATATTGTGTATTTCTGCTTAACACCCAAGCTCTATATTCAAACCCGATAAACCTCTGATCTCTTGGTCATTGCTTAGGCCTTGAGATTCATATATATCTTTGGAATGGAAGATCCATGGGAGAGACCAAAGCAGGCCTTAAAAAAAAGGTTTGGTCCAATTGTGCAAATAATTCTGAGACCATTAGACATGGATGGTGTAGAATTAGGGTTTATGTTCTTAGAGTGGATACATTCCTTGACCTTGCAGCTCATTTTCCCATGGGAAGTAGGAACTTGGTCAGAGAGTGTTCCAAATAGGACTCCATACTGCAAGGCCCAGGAAAGTGGCCTTTTCTGTTCAGGTCTAAAGGCAGTGTCATTCTAGTAAGGGTAATCTCCACAGGCTCTTCCACAGGATGTATCAGCAAGAGCTGTGTATTTATAAACCTAAACCTCTACTATCCGCAGTTCACTGAGCTGTTGACGGTAGTGGAAAACACACTTTGAGCCTTAAGATGATAGTGTAAGCTTTAACTGAAGACAAGTATTATTAAGGAAATATAGAACACGTACTAGTAATTAATTAATTGGATATTTTATGAAGTAATTTGGAACCTCATAAATCTGCAGTTTAAAGCAATTGGTGCTGGTCCAGAAAATATCCCACCCATAGTGACTTTGAATCCCTGCGGAGGGAATGGCGGCTCTCATCATAAAAGGTGTGTTTTCACTGGCCCATGATGGCAGTACAGTGTTAGCTGTACCAAAAATATCCAGTGCAAAATGCTGCAGACCATGCTGTTTTCTGTCTACCTATGAGGCATACTAGCCTGTAAACCTCTGGAATTAGTATGCATTAACTTGTGTTCATTAAAGCCAGACATTCTGATGCTGAGAATTTACTGGTGCTAAAAAATCATTTCATTCTCTGTATGACTGAAATCCTCCTGAGTAGCATGGCTGCATGAGAAAAGTGCTCCTTTTAAAAACAGTATCTGACCCAGTAGGAGATGTTGATTATTGATTGCTACAGGAAACATGTAGAAATGTTTTGGACCATTCCCAATTATATTCAAGGGATCATCCAACACAAAAATATTACAGAACTTTGTTAAACAAGCAAAGAATTATCTTTTCAAAATAAAATAAACAGTGAAATTTCTCCTTGAGTTGTTTAGTTCAGCAATTTTCAAATTTTAGGTCTCAGGACCCATTATACTGTTGAAATGATTGAGGAGCTCAAAGAGATTTGTTTCTGCTCAGTTATATTGATTGATATTTACCATATTAAAATGTTAAACTGATATTTAAATTTTCTAAACTATACATTTATTTAAATATCATCAGTGCAATACAAATTTTGCAGATGTTTTTATAAAATATAATTATATTTTCAAAAAATAGAAACGTGTTATTTTGCACCTTCTATTTTTTTAATGTTTTGCTTAAGAAAAGATAATGAGTTCTTAAATCTATGACTGCATTTATTCTCTTGTATACCACATGTCATGTAGCCTCTGGCAAAGTATGGAAGTAAAATGAGAGTAAACTCTTAGTGTTTTTATAAAAAACTAAAGGCCTGGTGCATGGATTCATGCACCGGTGGGGTGCCTATTGCAATCTGGGACCCCACTGGTGCAGGGCCAGGGAGGGCTCCTGGGCATGTCTGGCCCATCTCACCCAGTCTGGATAGGAGCTGATCAGGGCTGGCCAGGGAGGACCACGGGAGGTCTCTAGGGTGTGTCCAGTCCCTCTTGCCCAGTCCCGATTGGTCGGACCCCAGCAACAATCTAACCTACTGGTCAGAGCATCTGCCCCTGGTGGTCAGTGCATGTCATAGCTACCAAACAAAAGGTCAACTGGTCACTTAGGCTTTTATATATATAGATAGTGTTGATCTTGTGGTCCCTTGAAAGGCTCTAGGAAAGCCTCAGAGGTGCCTAGATCACATTTAGAGAACCACTGTCCTAGTCTGATACCTAAAGTTTCACTGCCAAATAAGGTAAATAACAGCCATGGTTAGCTAAGTGCAAATTAATTAAAATTAAATAAAAGGAAAAATTCAGTTTTTTATTTTCACTAATGCCTTTGGCCAAAAGAAAAAAGTTGAACTACCACATTTGGACCAGGCAAAAACAGAAAGGTGTGAAAGTTATTACAGGATCTTCATGAAGAGTTCTTTCTAGATCCCGTGTGAAGTAGGCAGGGTCAGGGCTAGTCTGACATATGAAGGAGTTTAACTTAGGCCTCCAACTACTCTAGTGGCCAGGATGGTCCTTCTGAAGCCTAGGCCAAGGTATTTCCTGGTGTGTGTCTTTTGGCATGAAAATACATTGGAATAACCCTTTTTAATACTGTTCACTGGCTGTCAGGAATGCTTAAATTGATTCTCTGAGACTTACCACTCAGAGATGAAACGTGTGAAGTGCAGAGTCTGGTTTAGGTAATACATTGGCAGCAACTATTTTATTTCAGAGAAAAATCCATCAATTAACAATTGAACATGACAGCTAGAGTGACAGTGTTTCTCTGTGTTCAAAAGAGGTAGTTAAAGAAAAAGGAACACTGGATATCTGAAGAGGAAAACTCACCCCTGGGAAAGAAAGAAGAGCCCCCTGAGAATGTAAAAGGCTCACAAAATAGATCTGTCAGATCCTTTCACACTTTGATGAAAGACAGCGCTTGATATTAGGAAGACGCTGGGCCAAAATAATTCTTCACCTTAGATGAATTCTAAGCTGAACTAAAGACAGAGATTACCATGAAAGGAAAAATGAACCAAGATTTGGAAGAGTTCAGTGCAATGAAGAATAATTTTGCCTACTCCATAATTTGTTTAAGATAAGACTTACCAACCTCCAAATCACTGTTGAAACAACAAAACAGGCATTGAGACTTTTTTATATTGTGCATTTGTGTAGTCATGCTGACTGCAATACATCTTAGCGAGACCAGCATAAATGTTAATGTATTTGTTCTCAGAAGTTTGTCCAAAAAACTTAATTTAGTTTAACAAACATTTATTGTATGCCTTTTTTGTACAGCAATATGTAGGTGCTCTTTGGCAGTGCAGTGATAAAGACAAAGAACTTGCCTTTATAGAAATTCTAATTGAGTTCAACAGCTATGATGTAGAGGCAATGTGAATTTATTTGAGTGGGTAACATTATTATTTCTAGATCTGTATATTTGTATAATCAATAGAATCCTAAACATAAAATTAATTGAAATAGAAATCTTGCAAATTAATTTTCAGTCTCTCCTTCATGTTAATATTTCAGAAAACATATCAAATAATTAAACATTTGTTCAGTGATTATTTAATTGAAATAATGATGAAAAGAGCTATTGTTTTAAGTTTTCCCCATTCTTTTCTATGAATAGAGAATGTTTAGAATAACTGATTTATTAAAAACCCAACCAGTAGTAGGTCTTTCAAGACACCTCATGTCTCTTTTCTCCTAGTATTCATACCATTGTGTAGTCCCCACCAACTACAAATAGTGCTAGTCTGTGTAAGTATTAGAATATTGAAGAAATAATAATTGTGACTTCGGAAGCAACATTCTAGTTTCTGTGCATTTTAGGCCATTTTGGCTTCTGCCCTGTTCACTGTGGACCACTGGCTCTAGAGAAAGACTGCAGCTAATGTGAAAACACGCAAGCAGCCCAGCAGAAAGGCCCACATGGCAGTAACTAACATCTCTTAAGGGGAGCCTGCATCAACGTACCAGTCATTTTAATGAGCCAGCTTGACAATGGATCCTACAGCTGCAATTAAGTTTTCACATGACTGTAGTCCAGGCTAATATGTTGACTACAACCTGTTAAAAACAAGACAACAGGCCCAAAATGAGTTTATTTATGCAAAGTCTTATGTTGCCAAACCGAGACCTAATTACAATTTTGGCTCTTTAATCCATGGGATCTAAACCAGTCAGTCAGGAATCACCTCATCAGCCTTAATTAGGTAATCTGCCTGGTACACACCTGCCATGCACCCAACGAAAGTAACCTTGCAATAACCAATGTGATTTTTGCCTAGAGTAACTCTCATTCCTGCTCCCCTCTGCCAATTATAAAAGTCTTTCATTTTATACAACTCCTTGGAGTTCCTTTCTGCTAGATTGAATGCTGCCCAATTCGAATTGATTTTTGTTCACATAAATTCTTAAAATTTTAAATATATCTCAGTTTATCTTTTAGCTGTTCTGGTGTCAGAGGAGGGAATAAAAGGAGACCCCTGTGGACCCCCAGAAGCAAGGATAAACTAGGTGGAAGTACCTGTGGAACCACCTCTGGAAGTCATAGTGCCTCTCGGATCCTAGCTCTGTACCTTTTGCATTATGAGCTTCCAGACTATGAGCATTCCTTGTTCTAGATAGGGTCCAGAAACTGGCCAGTCAGACTGGGTTTGACTTAGAAACAACACTTGGTCCAGGGTCAGACTAGCCCTGACTTGGAAACTGGACTGGGGCGAATTTAAAAACCAGAGTGATGCAAGGATGACCTAGGTCCAACTGAGAAACTAGAATGGACCTAGGGTCTGACTCAGTCAAACTTAAACTGAACTGTGTCCAGTATGAGGCCTAAGGTAAATAAAATTTTGTTTTAAGGCTTAACAAGCAGGTTAACCCTACCAAACATAAGCTTGAATTATGGTAGCCACAGGGGAGGCCCTTTAAACTACATAATCTTATTAATTTACTAGAGGCCTGGTGCACAGATTAGTGCACTGGTGGGGTACCTCTGCATGGCCTGTGAGGACTGGCCTGAAACCGGCAATCCAATGCCACCTGCCACGCCTGCCACCCCTTAGGCTTGCTGCCCCTCTGCTGTGGTTTCTGGGCTGCGGCAGCCAGCTGTGAGCCCTGCGTCTGTCGCCCGTCAGTCAGCTGAGTGGGCTCCTACTGTGGGAGTGCACTGACCACCAGGGGGCAGCTCCTGCGTTGAGCATCTGCCCCCTGATTATTAGTGCATGTCATAGTGACGGGTTGACCAGTCGAATGGTCGACATGTTGAGTGGTTGCTTAGGCTTTTATATATATAGATGAGGTGTCCTAGAGAAAAAGGAGTCTCAGCCAAGCACCACTCTAAAGGGTAGAAAGGAAATTATTTCCCCCCTGCCCCTACAGCTTCTGGTGACTAGGTTAAGACCCACTGGGACTCCTACTCTGTCTAGAGCCTGCAAACACAATCCTGGAAAAACTATCAGAGGCAGGCATAGGGTGAGAATTCTTACTGGAGTTAGTTCTTTGAGATCTCTATCTATAGTTCCCGCTTGAGAGAGAAAGGTAAAAATACACATTGTCCTGGCCTTTTCAATTTCAGATTGGCTGGCAAAAAATATTTGTAAGAAATAGATCTTGGAATTTTGACTCATGAATTTGCTTTTAGATACCCACTGATTACCAATCTTTTCTCTCCCAGGGACAACTATCCCCCTCTTGTTTGACTCATTTTGTGTCCTGGGAACTTAGTTTGACAACCATCAGGTTAGGGGCCTTCAAAATATGGCCAGATAGAAATGTGGGTTGTACTCCATTTGTGGCTAGGGCTCTACTGACTCTTGCTTGCTCTCAAGGGAATTGTCTAAGTCTTTTTTTTTAATTTTAATTATCTTTGAGATTGTCTGTGGATCTTGTGAGGCTAGTATCATTTGTATCTTCTCTGTAGATGCCTTTTCTGTCCAAGAGACTGTTTAATACTGCCAGGAATATTTATCCCAGCTGAAATCTGACAAGATATATGTAAGGATATATTTTTTTAAAATTAGTTCTATTGTCATAAATTGTTCAAATTAGAAGCTGCTATTAACAGCCTGATAGGAACATTTTTAGGCCTTCTCCCCTAAGTTAAAACAAAACAATGTATCTAGAAAGAAACAAGAACATTCTGAAGCCACTGTGGATGGATTTTCTAAAATATTCCAGAGACATACAGCACTGAATCTAAACCATAGGAATCCTTTTATTTCTGACTTAGTTGAAGATCTCTCAGATGTAAAAAAGCAATTTAAGGATAATGTAGTTGGATGGGTTGTGAGCTTCTGGATATCATTCAGGTTGCAACATAATTTTTTGAGGAATTAGAAACAATTACTTGTCTTACCTATTATAAATCTTACAAGCTATAAGATCTCTACTTGCAATCTGTCTTTATGTCCATGTATGTATGTAGAGTTGCATATTTTTTATCTCTAGATGATATTGCCAAAATTAATTTGTAACAACTTCCATTTAATTAGCTTAAATTATGTATATGCTCAGAAATACAGAAACCACCCAAATGTTTTCCAAGTTCATGTGATCTAGGATAATCATAAGTAAATGCTAAAAATGTTCTTGATATTTTTACAATATTCAGATAAGCTCTTTTATTACCCACATATAGTTTAAATATGGCAGAATATATTGTGTTTAGAGAAACTATGTGAGCATATTTTATTTTCAAAGGTTCAGTGTTGCCTTGTTTAATGAATCTTTTCTATATCCCAAGTATAATAATACAATTGAGATGAACACCCTTTATATTCTTATAAATCTATCTTAACTTTGACCTTCCAAAGCTGGATTATCTGATTTTATGTAACATGACTATAAGCCAAAATATAAATTAATATTTGATTTAAAAGTACATTAGTTTATTCAAAATCAAATATTGGTCACTAGTGTCTGTATAAATTACTGAATTAGTTATCCTATCTAATAACAGACAAACAAGGTAATTAGCCGTAGCTCCAACATGCTTCCCATTGGCTAATCAGGGTGATATGCAAATTAACTGCCAACCAAGATGGCGGTTAACCGCCAACAAAGATAGCGGTTAATTTGCATACTTGCAATGATGGGAGGCGAAAGGGGAAGGATGGAAGACAGTGATCAGAAACCCAAGCATATGCAAGAGCCAGGGAGCAGGACAAAGGTCAGCCCTGGAGGCCACCTTTGCCCTGCAACCAGCAGGTGATCGGAGAAGCCTGGGGGGTGGGGCAGGGAAGCGGACACAGACAGCGACTGTGACCACAGAAACCAGGTGCATGGGCAGGGAAGCAGCCTCCGCCAGCATCCAGGCCGAGGCTTCCCTGCCCCGCACCTGGCTTCTGCGATTGGTGATGCCTATTTTTGCATGACACTTAACTGACTACCCTCCCTGGAAGCACAGAAGAAGAAGAAGCCCCCAGAAAAAGAAGCCGCCCACCTTTGGTCCAGGCCAGGAGTCCCAGGCTGCAGCCACCTGGAGAAGCTGCCAGCCCTGTGGTCCAGGGCGCCAGCACCTGTGGCCAGGGAAACAAGTTCCCTCTTCTCCTACTGTAGTCATTACTTCAATATTCCCCTTCTGAGTTTCTCTCCTGTGCCGCAACCCAACTCCACTTTTCATCGGAAGGATACGGAACAGAGAGGGCAGTGTTAAAAGCTTACATTTTTAAGCAGGTAAGGTTGGTACTTAAACATATAAATGGAAAACTAGAGTCCTTAAGGTAACAAAGGCTACAAAGGACAGGGACAGGGCATGACCTATTATATCCAGCAATCCATATGGGGACTGAAAACTTTGCAATGATGACAATTACTGAAGATATGAATCAACTAACATAGTTGACAGGGGCAATTCTTCCATCTTTGGAAATATCTACATAAAATCTGTTTAAATAGATTTTCATCTGCATAACCTAACACATTCTGACAAGACCACCACCACCACCACCAATGTGGTCAGTGTTGTGCTCTAAAATGTTTAATAACTGAGGGACCGCCCCCCCCCCCCGAGTGCACAAATTTTGTGCACCGGGCTACTAGTTACTTTATAATAGTTGAAGACATTTTGTGTGTGTGTGTGTAGCTTTTATCTTACCATCTGAGTTGTATGTTACCAAAGGCTGAGAAGATTTTGAAATTTTACTTGTTACTCTGAGTTAATTTAAATGCTTGGAAATGGCAGAGCATTTCAAATTTATATTATATGTAATTATTTTTAATATTTTCTTCCCCAAATATGTTTTAGTAAACTCAGTATATTTTAATTGGTATAAATGCCAGAAACAATTTCAACAAAAATAAAAGCAAAATATAAAAAGCAGAATTAATTTTTTAACATATAAAGTTAATAAATGAACAAAAATATTCTATTAGTTTATGGCTACAAATGC